GTGTTACAAAGGACGGGAACGTTGACGACACCAATATTCCACAAGAGGAATCGACAATATTACCTATGAATGACTCCGGAATTGATGTTTCGTGCCCTGGGAATGGCGAGGAACAATTGGCGGAGAAGCCAGGGGTAGAATCAGCGGAGGATGAGTGGAGTAAGAATTCTCTTATCCGTAGAAGTGGTCCATTGTATCAGAACAAGCCGACATTCTTTATGTCTGCGGACGAACGGAGCGAATATGGATCGGAGTTCTTTAATGGACCCGAGGACGAAAAGCTCGAAAAAATTGCGATATTCGCCGACATGCATAACTTAGATGCACCTATTAAGGGTCTGCGCTTCAAGCGCAAGGGTCTAGGTTGGAGCCATTATTTTGGCCATAGCATAAGAGGGCGAATCGGCGTAGCTGTCTTCGACCTCCAGGGAGAAACTATTCAAGGTGCTTTCTTCCAGCGGGATGCGGGACTGCTTGCTTTATCTGTAGGTGCATATAACTATTTTTCCCGGACATGTTCTAATCATTAGGCAGTTTAAAACACAAGCGCGACGTGGTCCATATTACGGCCTATGGTTCAACAGTGAGGACGTTGCCGTAGCGGGTCATGGAGCGCATGTTCCAATTGGGCTGTGTTGGTTCAGGAATCCTTCTGAAAGGGTTCCCCTCGGGCTATTATATAGAGCCGTTGACCCTCCAGAGGAATACGTCCCTATGCTTCCGGAACAGCAGGATCCACCAGAGGAATGGATCACCAACTTCAAACCAACATTGGAAGAGGCTGAGAATGGGCCGGAAGCCAATGATACTGCGAGTGAGGCAGATTCTGATTACCAGCTTGAAACTCCGGAGCCCAAGAGCGAAGGCGGGGATGCTTCCCAAATCCCGAGCAGATACGAGCTCGCAAACTGGATGTATCATCTTCAAGAAGCGGAGCGTCTATGGGCACCAGAGGAGCGTGAAGGCAATGGGGACTGGAACAAGCTTTGGGATTTGGTTGAAAATTTTTTATGCGACAGCCCCGCGGAATTTAGGCTTTGGCAATACTACATTTGGCCTACTGAATATCCCTATACCTTTGATGAAAACAGTGTTAGCAAGGCTATACATGTTGCCGCTTCTTATGGCTTGACGGGACTGGTTTCGAGATTACTGAAGAAAGGTCACGATGTTAATTCGGTAAATGGAGACAGGATAACACCTCTGCACCTAGCAGCGCGTTCTCAAGACCCGGGTCTTGTCGAGTTGCTCCTTGGATATGGGGCTGATGTCGATGCGAAAGACTGCAACCAAACAACGCCTCTTGGGCAGGTTTCGTCAAAGCTGAACGGCTCTCCCGAAATTGCAAAACTGCTCCTTGACCATGGCGCTGTTGCTGAGACATCAGACTGGATGGGCATAACGCCACTACACGCCACTTGTCACAACGGAAACGTGGAGATATTTAGACAACTGATGGAGAAAGGCGCAAATGTGAAAGCGCAGGACCAAGACGGTGAAACACCGCTTCACAAAGCTTTACACCGCGTTGATCCACCCCTGGAATTAATCGAGGAGCTCATTCAACATGGGGCCAACGTGAACGAGCAGGATCACCAAAGTCAAGCTCCACTATATGAGGCGGCAGAATTGGGAAGTGCCGCTGCTGTTTCTATTCTCTTGAGGCTAGGGGCCAATGTCAATGATGACGACAAGCTCGGATCTACGGCGCTGCATATCGCAGCTGCGGGTGGTCATTGCGCGGTTGTCACTCTACTGATAGAGAACGGAGCAGATCCTAATGCGAAGGACCACAGAGGAAAAACAGCATTGGCTTTGGCAGCTCAAAACGGAAGGGGTGAGGTCGTCTCTTATCTCATCGAGAAGCAAACAGCCCAGGATCCTGGAAAGTCCTTCCTTGTTGTCACAGATAACCAAGGGAGGACTGCCCTACACCGCGCCGCGGCCAAGGGGTATACCGAGATTGTAGCGAAGCTTTTGGATGCCGGTGGCCCAAGCTCTAGCCCAACACAGCTGGAAGGAAACAATCTAGCAGCAACTCCATTGCATCCGGCGGTCTTCGGGGGACACCTAAAAGTTGTTGAGCTACTCGTGAAAAGCGGCAGTGATGTAAATGCACCAAACCGGAATGGGCAAACACCCTTGGAACTTGCTGTGATCCAGTGGGGTGTGTGTCACGAAAGTCGGAGGGAAGGAGTGCACGATTGTATAATGGCTATGATCAAAAGCAACCCCGAGGCAGCAGTAAACAATTGGAAATTATTCCGCACAGCAATCTACAATAACTCTGTGGATGTAGTCACAGATATACTTGACCAGGGTGTTGACCCAAATGCGCTCGACGAGCATGGATGGTCACCTCTAGCTATTGCTGAGCAAATGCTGAAGAGCAGAGCTATAAACGAAGTAGTAGAGGTTCTTAAATCCCGGGGAGCAAAAGAGTTTGGGGTTCCCGCGGGTGAGGCAAATGGAAAACCGGTCATGGGGCAACCCCCGACACTGATGAACCGGAATGATACGGGAGCCATCGTGGACGTTTCAGAGGACGGGCTAGAACTTCGCTCGCTCAGTAAGTAATTATCATGAGCCCTTAGTTCTGTGAAATATTCACTTATCAAACAAAACGATCTATAGGACCGGAGTCCCATACACATATCGGCTCTATACGAGCAAACCACCCGATACCCAAGGGAGAGTACACATTCTATTTCGAAGTTGAGCTCCAAAAGGTTACAAGATTAGAGAGTGACTACCCGTAAGCTTACCTGCCAACCAACCAACCAACCAGTCAATCAATCATTCACCCAACCTGCTAACCCCCCAAACCGCCAGCGCGGTCGCCGTAGGAATATGCACCGAGGTAGTGCCCTTAGAAGACCAGCTGCCAGGCTGGAGCGACCTGGGCAGCATCTCCTACCATGGTGATGACGGTGGGTTCTTCCACAACCAAGATGGGTCTGATTTCTACGGGCCGACCTACAGCGCCGGAGATGTCATCGGCTGCGGGGTAGACTTTGCCAACGACCGCATATTCTTTACGAAAAATGGTGAATTTCTAGGTGGGTTCGCCCCGGATCCACCGAAGAAGAAAAAAACCCCTTTGCTAATCATGTTGCGCGGGAGTGGTAGGTTTTAGGAGCATCGTGACGGGTCTTGTGTATTATCCTGTCGTTGGCCTTGGGGAGGTTACGGTCGCAAAGGTGAACTTTGGGAAAGATCCGAGCTGGCCTTTTAGGGGGTACGTGTTGCCAGATGGGATCGCGAATACAGATGAGGGTGGGGATGGGAATGGGGAGGTCGGTAGTGCACTAGGTGAAGAGGGGTCAAAGCTGGTAGAAAAGGCTGGAGATCCTCCTCCTCCCGCTAAGAGGGAAGAGTGAGTAAGCTCACGGGACGTTTAGAATACAGCTTGGTTGTATGATTATTTTTAAACTTTTGCTGCTTGGAAATCGTATTAGATTATTAGAACAGAGCTTAGCAACGTGCTAGTTGTGTACGAGGATACCTTCAAAAATCGTTGACGCCCCCCCACTCTACACCAAAAATGGGCACTTTCACTTTGCAAAATCTCAGCTTTGTCACCCTGTAAAAAAATTTAAAATTTGCTTGAGCTTTTGGAGCCACCAACATATCACCATTTATAAGTGATGAGCTCTGTTGATTTATGGCCATGCTGTAATACAAGAAATAACAATTGTGAACAAAAGATATCTCTAATTTTATATGGGTTTCCCATATAAGGGGTACATTGCAACAGCATCCAATCTGGCGATGCAGCTCTCAGTTCTCAAGGGAGTGGAAAAATTGACATAATTTTTATGCAGATTCTGGGTATCCATGGTTCCCTACACAATGGAATTAATTTCCTTGCTTCTCCATTGCTTTTGGATGAATTGAGCTTGTTTTAAAATCAGCCATTTTTGGTGTAAAATGGGGGGTGTCAGAGAATTTTGAAGATGGCATCGTTAGATGCCTGGATTTTTTGGATTCAAAGAATGGGTAATACCGTACCCCAAAATTTCAGAGGGGAACAGCTTATACAATACGAGACTTTCAGTTAGACTACTCATAACCCAGTCAAGTCCAACCATGGCCCGCCACTCTAGAATCGGGGATCGCGGCGGTGTCATCACGTCACAGACTTCAACCAATGCGGTACAGTACTAGCACTGGACAGTATGATACAGGTACTATACACAGCAAGCCTAAGGAATCTCCCTTCCTGATACTCCCTAACCACACACAAACATTCCGGAGGCATCCGCAAGAAAAAACAAGAAACCCCGCACTTCAATCGATTCCCCCCATTGCACCGATTGTGCTCGAGTAAGCTGGAGTGATAATCTAAAGTTAAGATTCTGTCAACAAAATCTGGCGAATCTGCGGGTGCTCTGCAGTACGGTACAGGACCGCCGGTACAAGGCTACAAAAAAGCTAAAGTCGAAGAACACATCAGAGGCCTCTACTCGTACTACATGCTACCGGTCCGGCAGACGCATGTTCAACACGGCCTCTCGCAGGGTAGTTAAATTACAAACAGGTTTCGTCCTCGCGGATCAGACATCCGCCGACTCAGGGATCATGCTGTTCGCTAAGAGCCTAAATAGGCAGAATGAGCTCTCTGTCCTACTGTATGTAGATGTCTACTCCCAGTTAGTCAGTCCGGTTTTGCCGCATTACTCGGACATTAGACTACCCGCCTAGGCAACTATCATTGCAATAGAATAAGATATTAGCAACTAATGGTACCTACCGGTAGGCAACAACAGCGCGAGGCCTCCGCGATCCGCGACTCAGCAGATACGCGCCCCTGGCCTCCCCGCCGGTTGCTCAGCACAATTACTCAATTCCGCTCTTATCGCTTTGCTGGAGGCTTCGACTCGTGTACTGTACCCCGATACGGGAAAATCCAATCCCTCTGCTTAAAATGACGATGGAGCCGCATAAATAATTCTGCCTAATTATAAGTTACCAACTCGCGATCGCAACCCCACAGACACAATCACCTCAACCACCACAATCGCAACTACTGGGGAGAGATGGCTGATCTGACCCCGGCAGTTGCCCTAGTAATAGCATTGATAGCTCTCCTAGTCGCAGGATTCTAGCTCACCCAACAACTCATGGCAGCGGGCTACACCATCCGCAAATGCGACCGGATAATAAGCGGGAACCTCACGAACGGTGGTAAGCGTCGCTGGCACTGGCGACAATTCCGGTTCACCGTGACCTATGAAGGTTTAACCTTCTGCCTCCCACTGGAATTGTACGCGTCACTGAACGTCAGTCCTGCCGTGTCCGTGAGCCCGGAAATGACGACAGGGCTCTGGGAACGGGCGGTGAAGCTGCGCGGCGAAAGGAAGACTGATCAGGGGTGCTGGGTTTCTTTTGTGCAGGATATGGCGCCGTACATTCTTCCCGAAAATCTTGGGAGGAAGCAGGAGAGTGGGGATAGGGTTCCGGAAGACCTTACTGTTGCGCCCGTGCAGGTTGATGTTATCACGGTTGTGTTGCTGTGCGTTGCGGCGGGTATGAAGTTCTCTAGGTATTCATCTACGACTGGTGAGATTAGCATGAGCGGAAACATCGGGGCCATTACCAGTGCTGAGCATCCTGTCTTGGGCGGTTTGTTGCATTACACCCCTGGCGTTTTAGCGATAGCGAATGAGAGCCTAGAAGGGATGAGGATGCGCTCACGGGCAATGAACCAGGGGAAGGGAGTTTGGGCAAATGCGGTATTTGGGAAGTTCAACGATCGGAGAATTGGTCGCGGATTCATCAATTTTTCCATGCTCCGAAAAAGGGTGGGCAGGTATTTTACTGCATCATGGATGGCCAGAAGATAGCTATACCGATAGTATCGGCGGAGCCCAAGGGTTTATGGCATTAGCCACAGTGGACGTCTACATCACTATCCCACCGACATGCATTTATCGCTGGTGTGCCCACTTCGCAGAGGTTATCGTCAAAGCCCATCTCCACGAAATACAAGGCACAGAGCCAGTTGTACACCCACCAGATTTTCGTCACGCCCGAGCAAACATAATCGAAATCTATGGTGCTTCATCACCATCCATCGCTTAGGATCAACTCCACCACATTCACCTCACCAATACAATTCCGGAAGTCTTAAACATCCTATCGAGCACCTCCAACTCCTCAACCTTGCAAACCAGGGCCTGCTCTCCTGCGGAACTGGTATAGTTGAGACCAAAGATCCTAGTACATTTGTCACTCCCACCGCTGCTTGGGAGGTAATTATGAACGCCGATGCCGCTTCTCATGCTCTCGAGAAAGAAGTTCCCGGAATCCGCTACTACTCGAACAGCGTCGTGGCAGCATCAATCGCTGATGCAGAAGTGGGCGCCCCGTCATGGGGCCGCGCCGGCAGCATCATCGCTGCGTGGCCACAAACCGTAGCAGAGGCTTGCAGAGCCACCTCAAGTGGCGAAGGTTTCCAACCTGAGAAAGAGAGGTTGGTTTTCGCACATGCAAAGTTGTCGATGCTACGGGCAAGTTATGTTACTATTATGTTAAAGGCGGCTGGAAGTGTGGGGCCCGGATTGGAGGAGGATAGTGAACTAGTCACTGGGCTGGCGTATATGGCGTAACTGGATTTCCGGGAGTTGTATGGAGTAAATTTAAAACTTTATCAGCATTCTTGTAGAACGAGTGATAAAGTATGATTCTAGCTTCCCATGGTGGTTTTCCCAGCGCATCGAGACCGGCCACGGGTGAGGGGGCGTCAAAGGCTGACAAACGGCCAGGTCTCTCTCGAATCGTCGGACCTAATTTTGTTCTACTGAGGTCAGTATGGGCGTTCAGGCTTCGATAATCTTTCAGTGTCCCATCATCCCCAACCACCCGCAGCGACGCCCCAGATCTTCCGAAGGCTTCATGTTTGTATAATCCGCCAGTTGCCTCCGATATTCCCTCACGCGAATTGCTCCGGTGGAGTAAGGATCCTCGACTGTCTCTCTCCCTGTCTACCCAGAGTGGGTGGTGTTCGGCCCATTTCACCTCCGTGGCGAGAAGTTTTAAATGATAGAGTATGATAGGTATAATATTTTACAACCGCTATTTGACCCTTTCGAGCAGTCTGTGATAGCGGTCTTCTTCTTCCGTTCTTGTTTCTTGCTGACTGAGTTGCGTGGATGATCTTTTAAAGTATATAATATGCTTGTTTTTTTATACCATGGTCGAAACAAGAATCAATTCAAACTGATGGTGCGAAACAAAATAAAATTCCACGTTTAACATTAAAACTAGCCAGAATTTGGCTTTACAGGAGAACTTGGACAATTTGGAACAAATAACAAATCTCATCAGTGAGAAGCTAAAAGAGACCTCCTCAGTCTTCGTATAGAGTTCTAGTTGCGGAGAGAAACAAAAGAGAAAAAAACAAGGAGTCATCACTACTTGACTCGACTTTTCCAAGTGCGACTACCATTAGGACAATCCCCGACTTACCTAAAACCCCCCAGCTTCTGTCTCAAAAGTGAAGGAAGGAGTCCCATTACCACTACCGTAGTCGCCCCCCTCCATCGCAATATCCGAATACGCAAACCCCCCATCCTGGAACAACTCCGACACAAACTCCGCGTCGGACATGCCAAAGCACCCTTGTTGAACATCCCCTCCTCCGCCAGCCAAGTACTCTTCGAACCCCTCGAGCAGGTCGTGGCCCTCCTCCGGGGAGAGCGCGTTCTCCTCAGGATAGAAATCCTCGTATTGAACCTGCAGATTAGTAGCATCGTGGAAATAGCAGGGGCTCACCGTTTCCATGAAGGTGGCGTCGGCAGCGGTGGTGGGGAGGGTACGCCGCAAATACTCCCTAACCACCGAACTCCTCCTCAGAGCACCCGACATCTTGAGCACGCATTTCCTCACCGCTCTCGTAATCCTATGGTACATTTTTACATCCCCTGTCAGCGATTCGTCCCGTCCACCCCCACACCAACTCCTATCAAACAAAAAATAAAGTGTCTGGTACTTACATGATGCTGCTCCTATCCCAGTACACCCCTTCCTCGTTAGAAAAGAATTCCGGAACGATCTTATGCACTAGCAGTTCCCCGAACCACGCGTTGAAAATGTGCGAATACGGTGGCCGTGCCCCGCGCAGGCCCGGGCTATCGAGGGTTAGTTCCGACTTTATCAGGTCGCGCAGTGACCTGTATTGCTCCTGGGTTAGATTTAGGGGGAGCATGTAGTCGGGCTGGGTTATGGGGGGCTGGATGGGGAGGGTGGTGGCCACGTCCGGGGAGGCGGGTAGGGAGTGGTTGGGGGTGTAGCTTGACATTTTTGATCTTTCTTTGTCTTTGGGAGGGCAGGCGAGTGATTTATTGTGATCGAATTTTTGTCAGTGATTGGTTTGCCGAGCAATGAGTTGGCTTGAATGGGGGATTGGAGGAGGGAGGCTAGGTTGGAGGTTAAATATTTGGGATTATTTGGTAGGTTGAAAATATTTGGATTGTGTGTTGATCGGCGGGTTCGCGGTTTAGGATTCAAGATGCGCAAGCATATGTTCCATATTCTATGATCCTGAGGGCCGTGGACTTAGAGTTTTGCTAGGCGTGTTGTCGTATCCAAACACTTGAAATGTCTCGATTATGGGAAGGGATAATCTTGGAATAGTACCGACTTTCAAGCTCTTCGGCGAGAGTAGGTGTGGGAAGGTATTCCTGCTATGATTATCGCTAGACATCAGTAACAATTCTCTTCCCTTCTGGATGTATCCGCCGACGTGCAATGTTTAGTAATAATATTACCTCAGCGGAAACCGATTAGGTTGGTTTGGACTCAAACGCCATCGTAGCGCTAAAGTTACGGCTAAACTTTCTGGTACTTTAGCTAACTAGGTGGCTTTTGAACCCAAAGCAACCCAACCGTCGCGCTTGCGGTAGTGGCTTGAATGAATGTTAGTTATTCCGAGAGTGATGATCTCTACAGCGCTATTTTAATACAATCGGGGCCAAACGTGCACTCGACTTGGCTCACCTGTTCCGCTGATTAGCCCAATAATATTATGCGAATGGCATATAACTTCCTGCGTCTGCAAAGAGTCTACGTAGGGCTACCTATAGTTCCGATTAGTAAGCACCAATCTGTAATACAAAAAGCTGGGGAACATTTGATACTTGTATTGTGTAAGGCCCTGCTCGGCTTGCCACAAAAATTGTATCTCAATTTTTTCAAATTGAGAATTTTATCAGGAATGAATAGGATATAGGGTAATCGTACAGTACAATTGAAAATACTGTAGAATATATACCAATTAATTTCCTTTCCAAGATTTCAAGAAATACCAAAGAATAACAAGATAAAAAACACAGTTGAGACATGAAATTATTGGTAAGAAATAAATGATGAGTATTAATATTATGGAAAAAAAGAAGAAGAAAAAGTTATGATAAGAATTACTATCATAATAATATTAATATTATTATATTAACATATAATGCTAGGAAGGATTTGAATCGATTAGGTCAAAACACTTTATGAAAGAGGTGTTAGGAAATAGGGTAAAACAAGAATCTAAAAAAATTGTGGTTATTACTGAGCAGTAATTTTTTTTACAAAAGTACAATTTTTCCATTTCAGAATATATTCTATTTTCAACTTTTGTTGTGATTTATGGAGGTACAGCGCCTAAGTTTTGTATGTTCTACTTGGCTATTTAAAAAGTATTCGGATGCTTTGGGGGCTTGGCGCCAAGGCTTTTATAGTAAAAGAGCACCCCCTTTTTTTTTTTTACTATTGGAGTATTAACACCTGACACCAAGCATTATGGCGTGAGGTAGGACCCTATATTCTGAACTTTTTGATTTAAATAATGACAAACCCATGGAGAATAATAGGAAAAGAAATCACACCATGTCGCCGGGCAGTAGTTATAGCCTACAGAAACTGTGTAAAGCCAGTTAGTTATAGAAAGATCCAGCAACTGACTGGAATACTGGTATCCACAGCAAATGACATCTGGGTACATACAGTAACCAATGCTCGTAGTGCCCGAATTGCACAAAGCGGCAGTTCTGATACGTCCTTTTCGATGATTGAATTAATATCAGCCAAAGTCCTAGATCCCAATTCACGGCCTGAACACCTAGCTGCCCTTACCACATCACAGATAGATGCGCTTGTTACACTGGTGCGATGTGACTTTACAACACGACGGATGAAATTGATAGATATCCAACGTGAATCTGGTCTCTCCCATGTGTGTACTGCAACAATATTCAACACATTATGTGCAGGAGGCTTGGGGGCATATCGTGAGGAATTTTAAATTTATTTTAAATCCTGAATGTAAATTAAAAAGGCTTGTAAGTTAACTATTTACACAATATAAATAATTAAGATTCAAATTTTACTAATACAAAACACTGACTATGTAGAGTTATTGTAAAGAGAGAAAAGATTGGCTGCCGGAACAGCAATGGGCAGACTACGCATTTACGGATGAGATGTCAATTGAGGTTGGCACAGTTTTCGGCCTAAACCATGTGTGGCGAGATAAGACCGAGCAATGGTATGAGAATTGTGTTGGGGCACGGAAGAAACAGGGAGCCTCTGTGATGTGCTGGGGGATGATATCCTGGGATTGGAAAGGTCCTTTTTACGTTTGGTTAGCAGAAACAAAGGAGGAAAAAGAAAGGGCTATTCGTGAGATAGCACAGCTGAATAAGAATTCAGCTTTAGAGGAGGCAAGGTTAAATGCCTTATGGAAGGAGTTAGAGGAGTGGATGTTACTACGGGAGCAGGAACTACAAGCAGTACAAGAGGCACGGAATAGGGTAAAGGAATTAGGAACCAAGGTCAAAACTATCCAAAGTTGGTGTGGCAAGAAGTTTAAAATAAAAAAGGTTCAACACGGAGATGCCAAGGGCGTTGACTCTTGGAGATACGTTCACCTCCTTTGTCAGCCAATTTTGTAGCTAGTATGCAAAAAACGATTATGTTTAAATCCTAGATTTATACTTATGGAGGACAACGCACCTTCTCATGATTCAGATTTTACGAATTATGAGCGTGAGAAGGCAGGAATACTGAAGGTTCGATGGCCACCAAACTCACCTGATTTTAATCCTATCGAGTGAATTTGGTGGCTCCTAAAATGGCATATCTTGCGGCAACGTAGAACTGAGAAAATATGCACTCCTAATGCAATGAGAATAGTTTTACAAGAGGAGTGGGACAAGATAACTATTGATGAAATTAATAGGGAGATTGAAAAGCTGCCAAAGATCATGTGGTAGTGTATAGAACAAAGTAGGGGAAACAAATATCAGGCCTAATCCCCTCTATCTTCATCATACTACCCACTTATGTCAACTTGCAGTTTTGCCCTTCCTCTGATTTTCTCCTTAATCCCTCCCCTAGTCATCCCTTACATCTGGCTTTGCCTCCTACCCCATTCCCTAACATTTATACTACCTATATTGTTTATAATATCTTCCAAAATTTAACATCATGCACGATCACTTGGTGCTTGAAAGTTTCCTTGTTACCAAGGCGCTAAAAGCATCCCAATACTTTTTAAATGGCCAAGCACAAGCAGGAGGTGTTTAGCTAGCAGGGATGAGAGACAAATTAGGTATAGTGGATTTGTTGTTCTGGGGTATGAGTACTTGAGTAGAGTGAAAACTATTCTTA